ACACACACACACACACACACACACACACACACACACACAGAAGTCCTGTCTATGGCATTCACGGGTAGGCGACTACAACTCCAGCCTACTCAGCAAAATCACATGCCAGGCATGGATCCAAATATTCAGGCATACATCTTTTTACATAGTCCAGGTCATTTCAGTGCTCTTACCTTTGCAGATAACTAATGGACCCTATGGGACAATGGCGGTAGGGAGCACACGGCGGGAAATATCAATTCATTCTGTCACCAAGCAGTAGAACATCACTCAGTCTGGCTCGTCCATCAGGAACAGTATGTCGATGAGCACTCACAAGCACAACTGCCTCCGGAGAGCAATTCGGCTGAACCTCCCCTCCGTGTGTGGATCCGACGGATTCTACCACAAACAATGTAGGGACCTCAGGCTCTCCAGGGGATGGAGATTGTGCCCCCTCCCATTGTGTTGTAGTACGGGTACGGTTCAGTTAGCATGTACACAGCGTAGCCTATGTTCCGAACACTATGACAGGATGGTCACTGCCAGCCTCTGCCACGAAAATTGCGATCCTTTGTCGTGTACTCATCCACCCCCCCCCCCCCCCCTTCCCCTCCTCCCCCTGATTACTTGCCCAGCATATCATTGTGGCCTTGATCTGTCATGCTTAAATAACTGTGTATGTCAGCCTTCTTTGTTGATGTCAGCAACATGCCATGTATCGTCGATGTTTCCAGGAAGCTGTCATAGAAAGTATGTGTTTCTACTGCGTGGACTATCCCCGGTACCATCATCCGCCACATCCTCTCCTAGCATGTCCCACATGCGGTGTTGGTCATACACCTACTGCAACCGCAGTCGGAATCCCTTCTTCGTTGCCTGACGAACGACGGGCGCAGCAGCCTGAGGAGGAAAATAGATCACCATATGAAGCACGTACAGAGCGCTGTACTGACAGGTTGTCTCCACCCGGGCGAGCTATTGCATACCAAATCCTGCAGCAGTTAGGCACCCTTGCTTTGGATCAATCTCCCCCATTGTCGTCTTTTTTTTTTTTTTTTTTTTAAGAATCTTGCCCGTGTCATCAGAAAGAAGTGATGATAAGAGCATACACTCCTTCCTAATCTCCCCCATTGTCATCTACCCACAGAGAAGGAATATATACTGAGGAAACCCAAGAAACCTGCTCGGTGCCGCTTGGTGATGACCCACCAGAGATTCGGCTAGCATGTGGTTCGTATGCCTTATGCCGTGAGAATTGTGAAGGGATAGCCCAGGCGAGCTTTTGTCGTCATACCCATGATGACAGTCAACGCCGCACTCATGTATGGCACCGTGACATGTCATGTCCAATTTGTAACCAGGGGCTGGAACGGCAATGCCTCTACAATTGCCGTCCGCTTGCCTCTGTGTTCCTAGCACGCAGGAGCCACGTAGCCTGTGACATCTTTCTGTGCCATGTCATTCGATGCAGTACCTGCAAATACGAGCATTGGATGCGGTGCTTTCACAGGCCACACCCAAACCGGCCATGCCCGGTTTTTAGAGGTGACCACTTGCCAGAGGCAACGACCGCTCCGCAAATCTTATGCAACCCATACACTAACTGGCCTCATGTGCCATTTTAGAGTGGTCTGCCCCAATGGTCATTATTTAAACCTTGTCAGAACTCCACCTCTCATTTTCCTCCTTCGACCTCAATGCATTATTAGTAATACATATGAATGAGCATCATTAAGAGAACATACAAAATATAAGTTGAAGATCTGAAAAGAAAACAACAAGAATATACCTCCGCCTTTGCTCTGCCTCCTTTCATAGTGTGCAAGTGGACCGTTATGGCACACGGGGATGTGGGCAGTTCGCGCTCAACCACAATCAATGCAGCGAGCCTTGACCATGAGAGGCACGGTAAAAGGAGAGCTACATGAACAAATGAAAGGAGTACCCCAAAGAAAGCAAACTTGAACGCAACTTAGAAAGGGGTTTACATGCCTCTATTTTACTCCATGTTGCTTGCTATAAAGGTGTAATTGTTTCATTGTTGGATTCCCTCAACTCAAGGGGTTTTGTTATGCTTTGATTTTGGATCTGCTCATCTGGGTACAATAGAGGCTGTTGTGGTGAAAATTCAAAACACACACACACACACACACACACACACACACACACACACACACACACACACACACACACACACACACACAGAGGAGATTGTGTTCGTGCCCTTCCATTGTGTTGTTGCACAACCACAATTCGGTTAGCATGTACACGGCATAGCCTCTGCTCCGAATACTATGAAGTGATGGTCGTTGCCAACCTCTGCCACGAAAATTGCAATCCTTTAATTTGTGTTCATCCCCCCACCCCCTGATTAGTTGCCCAACATGTCGTTATGGCCTTCATCTGCCATGCTTAGATAATCATGCATGGCAGCCTTCTTTACTGCCGACCTGTCAACAACATCCCATGTGTCGTCAAGGTTATCAGGAAGTTGTTTCATGGAAAGTATTTGTCTTTGCTGTGTGGACTATCCCAGGTGCCATCATCCACCATATCCTCTCCTAGCATGTCCCACATGCGTTGTTGGGAATACACCTATTGCAAACGCAGGCGGATTTCCTCCTTCCTTCCCAGACGAATGATAGACGCAGCAGCCTAAGGAGGAAAATGGACTACCATATGGACCACCCACAAAGTGTGGTTCTAACCACCAGGGCAAGCTGTTGCAGACCAAACCCTCCAGCAGCTAAACACCCTTGGTTTTGATCAATCCCCGTCGTCGTCTGCCCATAGACAAGGAATAAATAGTGAGGAAACCAAAGAAACCTGCTCAATGGCACTTTGCACTGACCCACCGAAGATTCCGCTAGCATATGATTCGCATGCCTTGTGCCATGAGGATTATGAAGGGATAGCCCATGCTAGTTTTTGTCTTCAAACATATGATGACAATCAATATCACACTCATGTACGATACCCTGACATCATGACATCATGTCGGAACTGGAACAGCAATGCCTCTACAATCACGGTCGGTGTGCCTCTGTGTTCTTGGCTCCTACTCGGCAGTCACAAATCGATGGAAGAGGGCGCGACCTCTCCACAACCGGATTTCTGGAAGTGTCAGTCGGCTGTTTGTGCAATGAAAAGCACTCCTTCTCCTGAAGTTATGGAGTCATTTTGCCTAGTTCCTTCAAATACGATGTTCAAAATTTTTGGATTCATTTTAAAATTGAGAACATTCTCAATCGACTATGAAAAACTTTTTGGCTTTTTCGAAGAATAAAGGGTCCTATAGAGAACACAAATTTGATTGATCATTCACACGACGTCCATCCAGGTCGCAGTTGATGTACTAATTGGCATGTAATAAGCACAACCAGGAAATCAAATTCTTGGTGGAAATCATAAACGAAGGCGTAAGAGCACTCTTTTGTTTGATTGAGAGAATTCTAGCGTAAAAGGATCCCAAACAGTTCGGCAGTCGCAGGCTAGGGCGAGCGGTCGTGCTTTTCTGTTGCTTCCTACTGATAGCCTACTTGTCCCAATGTATGGCATTCGCTTATAAATCTAAGCGAAGAAGGACTTCGTACTTCGTACTTCGTAACTTTCGAGATGTTACAGCACATAGCGAGATTACGAGGCTTATATTCGAACTCATTACCACCAAGCAGTCTGGAATGTCGTTTGTAACAATTCCTTCAAAGCATTTTTTCATTTTTTTACAACGCCACACCTTGCGAATATGTTGTGTTGTAGATAAATCCCCTTCTTCACTCATGCGATATTGTTGGATCAGACTTTCGCCCATTGTCCAAGATTCCCCACTACTGCCTCCCGTATGTAGCCTGTGACATCTGTCTACGTTGTGCAATCCGATCCAACAATTACAACTGAAAGAATTGGATGCAGTGCTTCCACAGCCCACACCCGAACTAGTCATGTTTGGTCTCTACATGCGGCTACTTACCATAGGTAACGATCTCCTCAATTCAAAATCTTATGTAACTCGAACACACACTGGCCTTACATGTCATTCTACAGTAGTCTGCTCCAGGGCTGACTATCTAGAAACCAGTCATAATTCCACCTCCCAAATATAGGCTAGATATATCAAGAAATATTAGGAAAAATGAACAAGAATATACCCCCTGCGTTTAC